GCTAAACCTAGACAAGGATCTGAATTTCACTGAACAAGTGAGCAAATCCAGGTTCTGAATGATTTGCTGCTCTGCAGTGGAGAGTACAGGTAAGTAAGCAAGAACGAATAACAGGTAGAGCCAGTCTGCTGTATTACTGTAGAGAAGAGTCACATGGACACTGGGCTTGGGCGATCTTCTCTATTTTCATATCGTCCAATCATGCCTACTTGAGTTCACCGATTGGCGATCTGATTGCCAGGGAGCAGTGTTACGTCGCAGCATGACAGTGAAATGCCAGCATGGAAGTTTTAGGCTTATTAGGTTTAGGAAATAACACCAGACACATCTGTAAATGCACACTACAGTGTTTCCCACAGAATTACTGTATAACTGTGCCTGAGGGGTGGGGGCGTGCAATCAATATTTACTAGCACCTATGTACAGCATGCTAACCTCGACAAAACGGTTATTCTACAGTTAGCATAGCTATCCTTATTAGCTAGGCTCCTTACCTTATTTGAAGATGGGTCTCCGACACTGACAGCGTTGTGTTAAGACCATTGACCAATTTCTTTCTTTTTGTGGAGCGGTGTTCATGATACTGACCATTCAACTATGGACTGATTAAAGAATCGCATGAAAAACCAATCACTGATCAGTGATTGGAACAAGCCTAATGGACAGTGTGTGTGTGTGAACATTAAACAGTGCCTATTCCTGACTGACGAAAACACCTATAGCCAGCTGCAACTGTACACATCAAAGATGCAGACAGCCGTAGGTAGCCCCACAATGCTTAGAAAATATAAAAATAAAAAAATGCAAAACTAAAATGAGACTAAGGTTTCACTGATGAAAACTACATTACAACTAAGAATAATCAAATAATAAACTGTGACTAAAACTAATAAAACGTTTTGACCAAATGACTAAACTTAAATCAGAATCAGGTGCCAAAATGAACACTCGTGTCATTGCTGGCCATCCACCCTCCAGGGTTTTTCCTGCATAGAGAAATTTTTGGAGCCCCCCAAAGAGGAGAAGAAGAAGGCCAATTACAGCCTGGAAAAAACCTGCCCTCTCTCTCCCATCATGTCCACTCCCTCACCTCTTTACTGTCTACCTCTGAATAAAGGCAAAGAATGCCCAATTGCTAAAATGGCTGCTCTCTAATGATCTGTAATAACTTTAGTGAGTTTGTTTTAATAATACTGGAGTACTATTTTACATGCTGCAACTCACTGTAGTGTTGACTAAGACTGTGTTGTGATAGAAATAAAACTAAACTTTGCTGCAGAACAGATGGAAAGATGTCTGCACTCCCATCCAACTGTGGCTTCATATTTGTTTTCTTCTTGCTTTCCAATTAAAGTAGAAATCCACATCCTCTCTTTTGGCAACAATTATGAGCATGTAGCCAGCATGTCAGACAACGTTTGCGTTTAGTGTGAACACACATGATTACCAGAGGATCCGTACTGTGTGCGTAAGACAATTAAAATGTGTGGAAGTTAACTTGTCATACTAAGTAACTACTAATAAAGAAAATACTTGTAAGATTTTTTAAAATGTGTCTGCTCATCTTTATGCAAAAATGGTGGAAACTAGTGAGCGTGCTGAAGAGATAATAGTGATACAAAACCATCTCAGTAAGTAAAATGTCAGGAGGCATTCACCACAGCTGGAGACACGTGACTAAAGATAAGGCTGTTTTGTCTCTTAAGTGACACTGCCTTACAGTGACAAATGTTAAAATCACATCATGGATGCATTATAAGAACTGGATACTGGACTCCAAGATGACACATTTATTTAAATAAATAACTGCTCATCCAGTGCATGAGCCAAAGTTTTCGCATTTCCTGGTTTGCTGCTGTGTGATTTTATTTTTTGTTAAATACTGTTCAATGTTTTTTCAATGTTCAGCAGCAATACATGAGCAAAATTCCATCACTAGATCACATGATAACAACTAAACCATTTCTATGATGACTGAGCAATCTCCATCTGCTGATGAAGACCACCAGATGTGGCTGGAAGCTCCAAGAAATGCAATGAACCTTGTGAGAAGAACTGTATGTCAAGCAGTAAATACAGTTTCTTATACATTTTACCAAAGTTCCTTTTAAAACTACAGAATTTACTCCGCTATTACACTCAAACTTTGGTATGTAGAAGTACAGACTTAAGTTTGATTCCCTGTTTAAGCCTTTGACTTTGTGCTCCTCCACATATCGTTAAGATCTCTAAATGACTGAGACTCATTATTGCCACACTCTGGTAGCTACTACCAGCCAAGTAGTTGATAGTTAATTCTCATGCAGCACCCTGCCGGGAAAACCTTGTTTGTTTCAACGCTGGACCCTGACCCACTAATTTCTTGTTTAGTTAATCATGCGATACATAATCAGAATTACCCTAAGCTCTGAGAGTTATTCTGTGAAAAGGGATATAGCTGGCTCACACACATCAGCTTACACCAGAGCCAAGATGGTTCCCGTCTCATTATAAACCAGCCGTCACACAATCAGCTGAGGACATGACAATATTTTAATAGCCAGGGGCCAAAGAGGAAGGCTTTTTTACCAGTGTGTGTGTGGGGGGGGGGGGATTGGCATGCTAACCTAACTCTATATTCAGACTGCTAGGAGCCAAGTCACCTTGTCACTGTCCTCAGGCCAAATTGAGCTATCTGATGGGCAGCGGTAATGTGTTAAAGCATGTACACACTAGATGGTACAACTAGAATGCGTTTTGTTGCTGTTCAGCATCAGTCTCAGATCATCAAAAACGAAAGGATCCTGCAAAGAGCAAAAATATTAACAGATTATTTTGCGTTTTGTAGCCAATTAGCTATGGGTGTCTCATGTAAAGCCAATGAGCTGCTCTGTTTCATTAATACCAGCTGGGTCTACTATAGCCCAGACAGAGGGGCAGTGCAGATTTGCAGTTTTGTACTGCAGCTAATTATGATCTTTCTGACAGGCAGGATTGGATTTCTTTTGACAGGCTTAGCTGCTGTCAGAAATATGAAAAGGAATCCATCATGCAAATAAATAAATCCATTCGATCATCAGAACAGGAAGCGGCTGAAGTTGCTCATCAGTGAACAGCAAACTTTATTTCATTCCATTTAGAAGTTAAGCCAAATCAAAGAATGGCAGATATAATGTATGCAGAAGCCCCAAAAAACACAGATTTTTAAGCCAGGTATCTCTTGTATTGTTAAAGGAGAAACATACACACTTTCCAAGCATTCAAACATAAGTTGAAGATGGACATAATGTTCCCTTTTTCTCTTCCAACTCTGCTCCTCAGGGAAATTTCAAACTCTGCTTTCACTGAGAAGCAACTATGGGGAAAGAAATGGAGCCAGAAAGTTCTATTTACAACCACAGAAAGCAAACAGGCAAAGAAACCAAGCTAAGCGACACGTTCTGTCTGTCAATCTCTGCTCCGTTTTAGTGCTGTGGGCAGCATCGTACCAACACACGCACCCCTAATTTAGTCAGACTCATTTCACCATTTCACAGCACAAACACCCACCTGCTTAGCTGTGGTAAGTAATCATATGTGCCAAAATATTTAGACACTAAAAAGCATTAAACCACTTGCCAGCATTAAGTGCTGTTATTGCCACCCTGTGAATCTGTCGAAATGACTTGGCCTACTGGTTTGAAGAAACCAGTAGGCAAGAAGAAACCAGAAGAAACTGGCTTGAAGAAACCTTTTTGACATTTTACCAGTTTCTGCCTTGTTAATTCTAATTCAAATCGCAGTAACATTAGCTCAGGTGATGTGCACAAAACTCAGGATCCACAAATTAAGCCTGTTTGAACCAAACAAATCCTGACATAAAAGACACACTGGAGGAAAGCCAGCATCTGGTAAGAAATGGTGCAGCAGCACATGTCATAAGAGCCTAAAGGGCTTCTTTGAGAAGATCTTGAATGATGCAGAACGTGTGTAATGACATTTAGTGTAACTTTGTGTCATTATTGACAAGTTATTCTACTATAAACTCAAAGGATTTGAAATTTTAGCATTTTAATCACTGCATTCATCGTATGCAAACCGTACCAGTAAAAAGCCAACACTGGGTGCGGGACTTTGAACTTGTATGACCATTATGTTCATCAAGCATCCCTATTCAAAATGTGACAGCTGTGATGTCTTGTCCAGAATTTTTAAAATGACATCCTGCTCTTTCAGGTAGACCCATGCTTTTATCTTATTTTTAACCTCACAAGGGACAATAAACCATCAAAAGAAAGCAAGAAAAAAAACTTTTTTGAAATTCATTTCAGACCACTCAACCATGCAACAACATTATGCCCTCTTAAAATGAAGAGTACTTTGCTCTGTGCTTAAAAGGGGACCTCTGGTAAAACCACAAGCAGCAGCTACAGCAATAAAAATTACATATTTCATGAATTGTCAGCGTGCTTGCTCCTGCATTTGAATTCAAGATTTCGCTGGAGGAAGAAAGGAGGGGAGGGGGGATGTTTGAGACTGACACATCTTTGGCATTTGAGCAGACTAATAGCTGCTCCTAACTGCCAATAATATGAATCTGAGTAATGCACTCTGAATACATTTGCACTCACCCAGGATTTAAAGCAAAGTGTAATGCAGCCTGTGTTAAAGGTCATACATCTATAGCAGCTACTTATAGTACTTTATTGCATTGTATTGGACTTTATTGACTCAATCCATCCCAGTTAACCCTTAAAACACACACCAGCGTGTCAGGTATGGAAAATACTGTTTAAAAGAGAACTTGCGTTGTTGTTTTTTTAAAACTTTCCACTTGGTTTAAAAGTGGAGTTTGATGACAGGAAAAGCTTTTAAGAGGAAGGTACGTCTTGCCTTTCAGGGTAAACCACGTATTCCTTATAAATGTCGTTTGAAATATATTTTTATCGCTGTCTATAACAAATCACCAGTGTTTCACGCGCACTGCCACCTGCAGCAGCACGCGGTGGCTTAACGCCCGTCGAGTGAATTAATTAGCTTACCTTGGAAGATCCATATTAACATCAGTGTGGCTCGAAGTCTTCTCTTTATCTCCATGGCGCAACATCCACCGGCTGCTCCAGCGGGCAGGAGCTTCTTTGCAGTACACCAAACACTCACTTCGCTCCTCAACTGCTGCTTAGTTGTCTTCAGGTAGCAATTAACAGAAAGCAGCGAGGACACGTCTACGAGTACAGCTCGGTCTCCTCTTCCCATCCCGCTTACAAATAGTGGCAGACATCGCAGAGCGCACCGGCGGCCCTGCTCGCCTTTACTTTAAAACCCCACAGAAGAAAAAAGAAATCATCAGCAGGCTCTTCCTTTTCTTTAGTTAAATCCAACCTGCTTCACTTCTGCTGCTTGGGAGTGTGTCGCTCTTTCTTGTCCAGCACACACAGCAGAAGTAGTACTGTAAACTGTCAGGAGCTTAATTTACCTGCCTGAGCTGCTCGGTGACGCCCCCTGGCAGCAAAACCTCAACTGCAGCTCGTCAATGAACAATTTACCTGTCCTTTATTCCTCAGAAAAACAGTTAGCATAACGATTGTTTTTGTCTCTTTTAATAGACAGACTATTACTTTGACGTTTTTAAAAGCAGGGCGTGCCAGGAAACATTCTGTAGCCTAATTTGCGTTTGGGTAAACACTCTCTTTTTCCTTTGACTTCCTTTTTTGCCTTGCTATTTTATGCTATTTATATTGACAAGATATATTTATTCACTTGGAAATTATGATACCCCCACCCCCCAGTGTATGATCTCAGCATAAAACTAAGTCATGTAATCATAGGCAGCTGTGGCTCAGGAGATAGAGCGAGTTGCCCGTTAATCTGAAGGTTGATGGTTCAGTCCCTGGCTTCTCCAGGCTGCATGTTGAAGTGTCCTTAGGCAAGATACTGAACCCTGAATTGCCCCTAGTGTGTGAATGTGATGTGGTCAAAATGACTAGAAAGGTGCTATACAAATATATCAAAGTATTTACATACAGGTGCTGGTCATATAATTAGAATATCATCAAAAAGTTGATTTATTTCAGTAATTCCATTCAAAAAGTGAAACTGGGGTATTATATTCATTCATTACACACAGACGGATATATTTCAAATGTTTATTTCATTTAATTGTGATGAATAAAACTGACAACTAATGAAAATCCCAAATTCAGTATATCTGAAAATGAGAATATTACTTAAGACCAATACAAAAAAAAGGATTTGTAGAAATGTTGGCCAACTGAAAAGTATGAACATGAAAAATATGAGCATGTACAGCACTCAATACTGAGGTGGGGCTCCTTTTGCCTGAATTACTGCAGCAATGCGCCGTGGCATGGAGTCAATCAGTCTGTGGCACTGCTCAGGTGTTATGAGAGCCCAGGTTGCTCTGATAGTGGCCTTCAGCTCTTCTGCATTGTAGGGTCTGGCGTATCGCATCTTCCTCTTCACAATACCCCATAGATTTTCTATAGGGTTAAGGTCAGGCGAGTTTGCTGGCCAATTAAGATCAAGGATACCATGGTCCTTAAACCAGGTACTGGTAGCTTTGGCACCGTGTGCAGGTGCCAAATCCTGTTGGAAAATGAAATCTGCATCTCCATAAAGTTGGTCAGCAGTAGGAAGCATGAAGTGCTCTAAAACTTCCTGGTAGACAGCTGCGTTGATCTTGGACCTCAGAAAACACAGTGGACCAACAACAGCAGATGACATGGCACCCCAAACCATCACTGACTGTGGAAACTTTACATTGGACTTCAAGCAACGTGGATTCTATGCCTCTCCTCTCTTCCTCCAGACTCTGGGACCTTGATTTCCAAAGGAAATGCAAAATTTACTTTCATCACAGAACATAAGTTTGGATCACTCAGCAGCAGTCCAGTCCTTTTTGTCTTTAGCCCAGGCGAGATGCTTCTGACGCTGTGTCTTGTTCAAAAATGGCTTGACACAAGGAATGCGACAGTTGAAACCCATGTCTTGCATACGTCTGTTCGTGGTGGTTCTTGAAGCACTGACTCCAGCTGCAGTCTGCTCTTTGTGACTCTCCCCCACATTTTTGAATGGGTTTTGTTTCACAATCCTCTCCAGGGTGTGGTTATACCTATTGCTTGTACACTTTTTTCTACCACATCTTTTCCTTCCCTTCACCTCTCTATTAATGTGCTTGGACACAGAGCTCTGTGAACAGCCAGCCTCTTTAGCAATGACCTTTAAGTGTCTTGCCCTCCTTGTGCAAGGTGTCAATGGTCGTCTTTTGGACAGCTGTCAAGTCAGCAGTCTTCCCCATGATTGTGTAGCCTACAGAACTAGACTGAGAGACCATTTAAAGGCCTTTGCAGGTGTTTTGAGTTAATAAGCTGATTAGAGTGTGGCACCAGGTGTCTTCAATATTGAACCTTTTCACAATATTCTAATTTTCTGAGATACTGATTTTGGGGTTTTCATTAGTTGTCAGTTATAATCATCAGAATTAAAAGGAATGAACACTTGAAAAATATCAGTCTGTGTGGAATGAATGTATACATTATACAGGTTTCACTTTTTGAATGGAATTACTGAAATAAATCAACTTCTTGATGATATTCTAATTATATGAGCAGCACCTGTATTCTTTCATACACTGCATATATTTTAACATAGACCAAATGTCTCAACAAAGTAGCCTACTGTTGAATAAAAACAATGTTAAAAAAATAAGCAAATGCAATGCATTTTGATGACATAATGACACTTAGCTGTGTTCCACATGCTCTAATATGAGAATATTGTAGGGTTTTTTTTATTATATTTTATTATAAACACCCCCCAAACCCCTGTCCTATCATGTATTTCCCCCTTGTCTAATTTGTAAACTCAGTGTTGGGAATCAAATGTGTTGTATTGAGAAACAAACCATGCTGTACAAAAGAAATACATTAAGTTACACTGTAATGTTTCCTCTCAAAACAATTTGTTTACAGATTTCCAACCACACTAAACTTCTTTCCAGTTTCCAAATCACCCATAGGTGTGTGTGAATAAAGATGTCAAAACTGGATAGCTGACAAAAAGAAGCACCCTGCACCCAGCTGTGATGTCACAGTTCACTAACACAGCTTGGAGTACTATACTCCTACGTCACTGCATCAATGTCAGAAGGCAGGCCGCAAGTTTTTATGGCTTTTTTTCAGCTGCCTTCTGCTGCTGGAAATGAGACCAGTGAGAGTGACCCAAAACGAAAAAGTTGCAGGATAGAAGACCAAAACAAATGAAAGACGCTAAAATGCACTGTAAAGATGACCTGCAGAGTCTGGTGATAATTCTCTGTGGGTTTGGCATCTTTCACACGCAGTCATTTGATCTATTGTTGATAGAAAAATATTGATTGTAGCAGCTTTTAGAGCTAGAGTGAGGACTTTTACATATAAATGAACATCTGTTACATTCAAGTCTAGCTGATCCAGTTTACACAATCCTGATTAGGTGTCATACCGCCAGGTAAATCTCTCTGTATTTTGCAGTATACCACAGTTTTTAGTGGTTTGCCAGAGCTGAACAGCAAAGTGACAGCAGCAAGTCAGTATGGCAGAGCCTATTCGTTATAATGCATGTATCGACAGTGTTGTGTAATTACTCTTACTGTCAAATGGCAGACACAGGTTCTGCACTGCAGGGTTAGTATAAAGTTTAGTCTAAGTACAAGGTTATTTATTTGTCATTATACAGCACAAGGTTGTATAACGAAACAAAACTTTTAGTCCCTTCAAAATATAAAATAAAACAATATATATCCCACAGATATTTATATACATACATGTGTATGTACACACAATCTTCTGTGCATTTTTTAAATTTGCGTCTGTAATGTAATGTAATGTTGACGCAATCATCTTGCATTAACTGATGTGTTACAAAGTCTAATTCAGGGCAGAAATAAGTGTCACAGTTAAGTCTCACATGAACACATCATGCAGCCACTTATACAAGAGATCAGGAGCTGCTGTGGGCTTTTACATTGTAATGTAAAAGTCTGCACTCACAATAAATGGGTTGTCAGGTGAAATATTAATGTAGGTGGGTCGATGTATTGCATTTTTAATGGATTATATATTTATTACATGATATTAAGTTCCATGTGTTTTCTGAGACCATTTCATGTGAGGTTCACAATTAAAAACAGGCATTAAGCCACCAACCCTTATTCAGACACATGAAGACAGATATGAAGGCCTTTTGTTGTTGTTGTTTTTTTTTAAATCTGCTTCAGTAGAGTTACTGTCTGACAGGCAGTTATACTCCTAACTTATTTATGTTGCTCTCATATTGTGAGACCTGCTGTCCTATGTCTTCTCCTATTGTTGTCAGATTTTAAGGTTAGCCCTGGTATTGGTTTTACTGGAAAGAAATTTGACTCAGTATCTCTCAGTAGTGACAGACTGATTAAATGGTCAGCTGATTAATCGGCATATAAGGATTAATAAAATACTTACCAGGTGCTAATACTGTGTTGAATATGTAAGTACAAGGAAACAGCAAGACCTTAGGCAATAGGGGAAACAACTTTGCATTTAAGAGGAAATGGCACTGTGCTTTAAGTATTTTTAATTATTCACCTATTTAATAATTATGGAGTAGAGCAGAATTATTACTGGGCAACAAGGCAGTAAAATGGGGAAAACTGTGTAAAAGTGTTTGCATTTAAATGTTAATAGAATTATTAAATTTTAAATAAGGACATATATACAATAACAATCCCTTGGCAAATGACCAAGTAAACAGTTGAAATTTGAGTCCTTATTGTTTACTTAGTTGATTAGGTACACCTAACTAAAATAAATACACTACAACAACAGTCGTGCAATGAATCCAAGGTTATAATCAGTTTTTGTTGAAATAGACTGCCGACTATGAATGTTAATTCCTGTAGTCTAAATTATAGAAATGCAATTGACTAACTTTTGAAACTGAAGACACTGGCTGTTTTTAACTATTTAGGATGGCTTTTGGGGGCTGTTTGTGTGTGTCATAATAAACTAAAATGTGAACCGTAAACATCTGTGAATGTGTGAAGATTGAGGTTAGATGGCCTAAAATATCCCAGTGTGGTCTGGGCTGCAGGTACCATGTATGCACCCTGTCACCCTCTTCATTTCTTATCAAAATATGACTTTAGATCTATATTTGTGTGTGACAAATGTGTAAATCTTTGGACACTTGTCCATTAGAAATTTTATGCCCCTGCTATGTGTGAATAATTCACAATGCGTAAGTGTGACAGAAGCACCGCTATAAAACGGCACAGCTTGCATGTTCAGGCCTTTCCACCCTGTTCCCCTTTAATAAGCTACATTTTCAGTATAGGTCAGGTAGCTTTCAGAAAGTAATTCAGCAAAAATGTTACCGGCTACTCTTGCACCT